TAAGAAAACAAAGAGTTAAAAATTAAAGAAAAGAATTGGTGGTTGTCCAACTGTATCAGGAGGTATCATCTGATTAAGAACCAATGGTTCTGAAGAAAGAAGTCACAAATCATCCTGAAGGCATCAATGACAAACAAGGCTCAGAGTGGACAGGATTCCAATGGCAATGTTTCCACATAGTGATGTGGTGCTGGAAGCACTCACTAGCTTATGTCAATAAATTTGGAAGATAGTTATCAGGTCATCTGATTGAAAGCGATCTATTTTTGTGAACATCCTAAAGGAAGATAACCCAACAGAATGCAGAACATACGAAACAACTATGTATACTAACACTCATTTGTATCACATGCAAATAGAATTTTGCTGAAGATAATTTTGAAAAAGTTAGAGTAGTACATGGACAGGGAACTACCAGAAATCCATGCCAAATTTAGAAGAGAATGTGTGGTAAAGGATATCTTTACTATCATCAGGTAGATCTTAGCTGAAAGCAAAGAATGCCAAAAACAGTTTGTGTTTTATTGACTATGCAGAGATATTTGGCCTTGTGGATCATAACGAACTATGAATAACATTTCAAAAAAGGATAATTCCAGAGCACGTTAAAATGTTAGAGAGCCAAGATGCCATTTTGTGAACTAAAGGTGGTGCTTGACTCAAGCTCTGACATTTTTAGTCGCTTCATATGCATGCAAAACCTGGACAATGAGTCAGGAAGTCCAAGAAGAATGTATGCCTTTGAATGGTGGTACTGGCAAGAAATATTGAATGGACATGGTCTGCCAGAAGAATGTAAAATCTATCTGGGAAGAAGCACAGCTGGGATGCTCCTTGGAAGAGGAGACGGGAAGACTTTGTCTCATATACTTTGGACATGCTATGAGGAGAGACCAGGAGCCCTAGTGACGTAATGGGTTATGTGTGGGGTTGCCAACTTCAAAGTCAGCAGATGGAAACCACCAGCCACTCCACAGGAGAAAGATGGGGCTTTCTACCTGTATAAAGAGTTAGTCTCAGAAACTCATAGAAGCAGTTCTACCTGATCCTGAAGGATCACTATGAGTCAGCATTGACTCCATGACAATGAGTTTGGTTTGGGTTTATCAGGACAGGCCAGTCTTTGGAAAAGGATATCATGCTTGGTAGAGTAGAAGTTATTGGAAAAACAGGAAGATCTTGGACAATATGAATTAACAGGGTGGCTGCAACAATGGGCTCAAACAGGAATGTGTGTGTGAGAAAGAGAGACATTTACATATATAATTCTGAAGTGTCATTAACAGTGATATAAATAGCATGTCTACATTTGTTTTGATATTTCTGTTATTGTTTATCTTCATTTTCTATATTTCTATAGAGAATATCTGTGTCCTATTGGAGAAATAATAAAATTTAAAATACATTTTAATCTAGCACTTGAAAACCATTTGCATTCTTAAAGAGCTATGAAAGAGATGAGAGGGGAATGCCAGAGCAGCACAGTGCTGTTCTCCCAGTGTGGAAACGTCCTGAGAGAGGTGTCCAAGGTTCCAAGTAAACTCTTCACCTCCCTTTTACCTCAATCAAATGTCTCGGTGTTTTTTAATATAGAGGAGTCTCCACAGTGCCTGATGGACGTCCCTGTTCCTCAGCGTGTAGATGACAGGATTCAAGATGGGAGTGACCACAGTGTAGAGCAGAGCAAAGATCTTGGAGAGGAGCTGGGAGTGGACAGCAGAGGGTGCAATGTACAAGACCATCAGGGTTCCATAGAACGTGGACACCACCGCCAGATGAGAGGAGCACGTGGAGAAAGCCTTCCGCCGGCTGGCCCCTGCAGGAACTCTAAGCACTGCCACCAATATCCGGGCATAGGACGTCAGAATCAGTCCAAATGGAATAGTGAGGAAAATCACGGACAGAAGAAACGTTGTCACCTGGGCCAC